TCGATATCAGCCCCAAGGCTGCGGCGCGCCCGCGATCCTAGCAAAATTAGCCGGTACGAGCAGCTGAAGTGCTGCCCCGTTCGCCAGGCAGGCGGGCCGGCCGGGTCTCCCTGCTCCTAATCCGGCACCTTAACCGCTCCCCCATTGTGGCCTGCGCGCTCCTGCCTGCAAAGCACCTGCCCCGCCTCTCCTCCAGAGGTGACTTGGCAGATCCCGGGAAACGCTCCGGCTTGAGCCCTGGCTAAAAATGATAAACCAGATCCTCCGTTTCCTTGCAAGTCTTCTGCACTTGTCTTCCCACCACCTCAACAATCTCCCTAAAAAAGGGAAGGTGGGTGACAAGGTGAAGGTTGATTTACACAGCTGGGTCCAGGGAGGGAAGAAGGGGAGAGCGCTACTGTCTCTGGAAACCCCTCCCTCCATCAGGCACTGACTGCCTCCCCATCCAGTGGACCGCCACACCCTACTTTGTACCAGTGGCGGGAGGCACACAAGGAGCCTCCTCTCTCCAGTCGTTGACCTCAGGGACCCGAAGGGCAAAGCTGCTGGCAGAGTGCAGCGCTAAATTAACTCCCTCCCCAGTAGGAGCCGGTGACCCTAAACAAGATAGATGCTGACACCCTGCTGATGCAGCAGCAGCAGCAGAGAATATTGCCGGCAAGTTCCAGCCCTGCTTGCCGAGTTGAAACTACGCTGAGATTTGCCACGGGACAGCCTTCTGAGGGGTTCCCATTATGGAGCTACACTTGCCAAGCTTGAAGAAGGCCTGCCCAGTCTGCTATTCTTCAAGAAAGCAGGTGGTCCAAGAAGGGAAGGGGAGGCTCGCAATTCCCTTTGTATCTGCTGATTCTGGGATTACATATTCCCAGGGACATAGGCAAGGCTGCTCACCAGCCAGGGCACCAACTTGACCAGGACTTGTCGCATGGCCTAGGGCAGGATTGAGTGACAAATCAGCAGTAACGGAATGGAGGCACAGACCTGACCAGAGGGCTGCTCCCAAGCGTTCCTGAGGTTAGGGCTGTGAACAGGCATGACCTCCCAAACGAGAGAATTCCTGCTTGCTAATGCTTACTGTTCTATTGATCAGCAGGCAGAGTTTTGTCCCCCTGGATATGTGGCACTAAGCAAGGTGGTAAATGGGGTGGTGCCAAGCTCCCATTTCTTGGGGCTTCATTTGCTTTCCTGGCTCTCAACTTCTTTGAAGTAGCCTTGCCAGCCCCAAGCAGCCTGCATGCTGCTTTCTCTTGCACTGAATGGAATGTCATGCTGCCTGCACAATTTAGCTCTCAGTGCTGTGAATAGGGGCTCAAGGCTGACTGCACAGGTCAAGTCTTGCTTTCGCAATGTTGCATGGCTGGGACATATTGAAGTCATTTGAGGCCTGAGAGAATGGGAACCAAGCTAACATTGATTGAGGTGCCTATCTAAGCATCTTACTCTTTTAACTACAAATGCCAGTCTCTATGTGCCATCCTCTTTTTCTATGGCATCAAATCACGTTGCGCCAGGTTGCTTCTGCTACCTCTGATAATGAACTAACGTACAAATATTGGTATCAAGCCACAACTCTGATAGAATCAAGTACTGCCGGTGATGAAGGAGACCTTTCCAGGAGGAAAAGTTTGCCAACTATCTGGGGCAAACCTCCTGGCATCTCAGAGAAAACGAAGCTGTTGCTCCATAAGGACAAGGCAAGAGTCACTCTTCTGAGTCCTACCAGAAACGAATTAGGCATTGCTAGCATGTCCTACTCAGGTTGGTATTCCATCAGAGTTAGTGATGAAGGAGTACCAAACCTGCCCACCCTCCCCACCAACCTCCAGCATCCCAGGAAATCCAGACGTTGGGGCAATGAAGCATCTCATTCCTGAAGGGAACCTCAGTGGTAACTCTTGTGTGTCATGCCAAGCCAGACATCCCAAAAAAGCAGCAAACATAAAAACATTTTGGAAAGTTTGCACTGTTAAAGTGGAATAGAACACTTCTCTAAAGATCCTTTGCTAGACAAATTAGAGGAAAATCCTTTTCTTGCTGTCTCTGCTGAAAGAGGCAGAGGGAAGATACTTCAGCTGTGATGGCAGTAAGCCCTGGCATATAGCTGGAACGTCATATGGATATTGTCTTCTAACGGGTCTACATTAGTTTCCACATTATAGCTCATGAACAAATTGTTAAAAATAAAACTTAAATCTTGAAGTAGCTGAAATCCATAGGTATCCACAAGGAGGCGAGGGTGTGAACACTGGTGAAATCTGTGTAATGATGTCACAACCCAAACTCTGTCCCCTACATACCTGGACATGAATCACAATGCAAGTATGAAAGGGTGAAGCTTGTGTCATGATGGCACAATATTTTGCCATTTTGGGCATCACTGTAAATAGGAATGTGCACTAATGCTGAAATCAAACCTGAATCAGATCCTGTCTTTTTCAAATATCAAATCTCCCATTTGAATTGTGTCAGAGCTAATTTCCATACGCCTAGTTCCTAGAAATACTAGAATTCAAATGTGCAGTTTTTTGAATAGAGGAAGAAGTGAATAATACAAAAGGCTCATGAGAGGAAATACTGGTCTATGTTAACAGTACGTTTGAGGCAGCAAAAAACATAGGATTGTTCATAGGATTGTTAAAAGAAAAGCAGACAAAAATATAAAGATATAAAGGAGAACAGCTGAAAAAAATGCACTTGCAATAAGGCTTTATGATTCACTTGCAACAAGCAGACTGAGAATCAAATCACCAGGTTCTCCATGAATATATAAACTTGATTTTGATAATAGTATAAAAAATGAATTCCTGCTGCATCGATTTCAGAGGTGGCTGAGTGTTAATTGCTGACCTGGCTGTAGCTAAGGCGTCCAGGGGCATCGTCGTGCCTCTCATGTTTCTCCAGATGCAACACACTGATTGCCAAACTGGGAAACATAAAAGTTAATGAACATCAAGGAACACTAACACCTCCATGAAAAGTGAATATAATATTTCCTCTCCCATCTGCTGCTAGCAGTTAATAGAATCAATAGATGAGCATTTTAAAAAGTAAGTGTCCTGTGGGTTGGATCCAAGTTTGACAAATGTTTCCTAGCTTCCAAATATGAATGGTCAAGAAGGATCCCAAAAGAAGGGCTTA